GGCCCTGTTAGATGGCAATCGGAAGTTATTACAAACACTCGATGGTGGTTTAAAGTGAGTTTTGAGTAAAAGCGGAATATAAATCTTATTTATTGTCTTATGTAGCATGATGCTACAGTTTGCATGAATGGTCACATAACACGTGCTTTCGGTCGTGTAACGTTAGTATGAACGGACATCTGCATATGATCGGAACGCCACGCCGCTCCCGCGATACTCTATACTGGTGGTATTACAGTACCACGAGAGCTAAAGAGAGCAGACTGCTCCGTGCGCTTTCGAATCGATCTCGCGGATGATCGATCTGCACCGCGCCTCTAGTCGAACACACTGGCTAGTGCTGCAGGCTTATTGGCTCACTGACGCTGATGAGATTAACTCCTTAAGTATCGAAATTTGGTACCGAACGACAAGACGTTTTGCGATACTCGATGGTATCGAGGCAATTCGGTCGGTGCCTAAAAAGTATTGAACTCGATACCCAGCCCTAGCGTACGCACACAATTTATGCCATTCGGCGTCTGTCCGCGGTGCCTAGCAAAGTCTCTACAATATTATGTACTGTACTAACCCAGGCTCAATGAAAAACGTGTCTGTGCAAAATTATATTGCATTGCTTCTTTCACATTCCGTACCATTTTCAAAGTGAAATGTCAAATGAATGGTGCTAAAAGCATGTTCAGGTTTATCCAGAACAAACCTTTAGGTATACCACATCTGATGTGTTCTTCAATATGGCCACTGCTTCTTCATGGGTCACCTCTTCTAGAGTGTAGTTATTCACCTGGGCGAAAGAGAAAACAAGCGAGATGTGTCAAGCGGGCAATCCAGAGTTACATAAACCGTTACGCTCTAGTGGTCAATGGCGAATCAGAGCTGCCAAATGTGTCCTGCCCAGTGGATTACACACAGCACTGATCTTGCTAATTAAATCAAACTCAGTCTTAAAGCGTTTAACAACCCCCCTGGATTAAAAGCAATGGAGTTTGACACTGACACTCGAGCGAAACTTTAGGAATGTAATCAGCCAACTATAGATGCAGCTCATTTCCCAAAGATCTCTGTGGGCAACTTCTATGCAGTTGGACAGTGATTTTTGTTGTTTTTGTTTTGTATGAAACACTCAAAATTTGCCCCAAACTCACGCCACTGGTTGAGCCAATTCGAGCTGCTTAAACACATTTTTAGGGGAAATAAACAGAAAAATGTCTGTAATAAAAACTACAACAAACTTAAAGTGCCCCTATTATGCCTTTTTGAATACTACCTTTCATGCAGTGTGTCATGTAAATAATTACTAATTCACAATCTGCCGCTGTTATCATAAATTGTGTGAAAAGGAACAAAAATTGTTGATGTTTTACTTCCACTCAGATGGAAACTGCAGTGAATTGTGCTGTGTATATATAGGCACGTTTTTGCAAAAATGTAGGTAGAGCCTATGTTGTTCTGTACATTCAAAACAAACACGGACCACTAAAAATCCAGGAACGTAAAAACAGTACAGAACTAACAGGACAGGAGGGAGTAAAGGATGGGACAGTAAATCCCAAAACAATCCCATCACTAGGTGTGATGGATGCTGCTTGATTGTCTTTCGGATTTCCACAGGACACATGGGGCAAGGGGGCTACACAGTCTACCTGTGGGCAGTGGCGTCTGGTAGAAAGGGAGGGAATTACCGTAGGAAGGAAAAACCATCCAACCTGTTAATGTCCTCTTCCACCAACAAGTGCTTGGGCAGGGGGGAATATCGACCGGGGGAGATGGGCGGAAGACTGGACTTATATTCCAGAGTGCCATTATTACCGGGGGAAGAGATATGATTTTCCATAGCGGGTGAGAATGCTGTAGAGAGACAAAGAGAGAGTTTATATTACATACGGCTAATCATAATGCCGACTTTAAAAAAAATTAAACATTTCCATTTTACTATCAAATTTCTAAGCACTATTCATTATTCTCTAGTGTTATTCTGGTTTAAGAAAACATATGTTTTACATAATGAAGAGTAAATGTGGTAAGAATCACTCACAGTGTGTGATATCAGGCGGCCCATAGGGGTCTGAGAGATAGACACTAGAGGGTTTCCCAACCTTTAGGTATACCACATCTGATGTGTTCTTCAATATGGCCACTGCTTCTTCATGGGTCACCTCTTCTAGAGTGTAGTTATTCACCTGGGCGAAAGAGAAAACAAGCGAGATGTGTCAAGCGGGCAATCCAGAGTTACATAAACCGTTACGCTCTAGTGGTCAATGGCGAATCAGAGCTGCCAAATGTGTCCTGCCCAGTGGATTACACACAGCACTGATCTTGCTAATTAAATCAAACTCAGTCTTAAAGCGTTTAACAACCCCCCTGGATTAAAAGCAATGGAGTTTGACACTGACACTCGAGCGAAACTTTAGGAATGTAATCAGCCAACTATAGATGCAGCTCATTTCCCAAAGATCTCTGTGGGCAACTTCTATGCAGTTGGACAGTGATTTTTGTTGTTTTTGTTTTGTATGAAACACTCAAAATTTGCCCCAAACTCACGCCACTGGTTGAGCCAATTCGAGCTGCTTAAACACATTTTTAGGGGAAATAAACAGAAAAATGTCTGTAACAAAAACTACAACAAACTTAAAGTGCCCCTATTATGCCTTTTTGAATACTACCTTTCATGCAGTGTGTCATGTAGCTGTATGTGAACATAAACTATCTGCAAAGTTGTGAAGCCGTCAGTGCACCATAAATAAAGTTATTGTCTATCAAAAAAAAAGAATCAGCTCGCAATCGCCTAAACGAGTCGTCAGGAATTCAAATCTTATTCTGTTATGGCTCTACGTCACAAAGTAACACATTTGCATAATGTCCGCCCACGTTCTACGTCGCCAACTTGCCCGCCCACAAACACAGTAAAATTGTGGTTAACATCATGTCGAGAAGCCGCTGTATCCTACGCTGTGGGAGTAAAAAAAAAATTTTCACATCTTATAATTACCACAAACTTGTTAACACTTGTACCACTGAGAAACGGGGCAATGTAGACCAATCCAGAGCCAATCTCTCTACGGCTCTGGACCAATCACAAAGGACTGCGCCATCTGACCAATCACAGCAGTGAGGGCTCATGGAAAGGAGGGGTTTAGAGAGACTGATTTTTTGAACTACTTCGCACGAGTCGTTTACAAATCATTTAGAAATGAGGTAAAATTAAATCAATTTTTTTGAGAAAACTAACATGTTTTTTGACCTTGCATGCATGTAAACCTGTTTTAGGAGACTTATAAAACAATATTAGCAACCTTAAAAATGGCATAATAGGGGCACTTTAAAGACTTAAGTAAATTAAAATACTGAAACTAAAATAAATAAAATAAGAGAAAACTAAAACAAACTGAAAAAAAAAATTTAAGTTAAATAAAATATAGTAAAATAAAATAAAATAGTTTAATGAGCCATACCATAAGCAGTCTGTCTCCAACATGTAACCGTCCGTCCTTCTGCGCAGCTCCCCCATCAATGACTTTAGTGACATAAATGCTGTTATCACCCGGTATGTGCTGGTTTCCCACACCACCTGCAATACTGAAGCCGAGCCCTATGGGATTTTGAGAAAGGACAAATCAAAAGTGTTAGCTACATCCCCATAGATGCTGTGACAACAGACTACATCTAATTGATCAAACCTATGTCTTTCCCTCACACAGAAGCAATGCTGAATCTTTCAGAAGTTAACTGACTACTAGTAATAAACAGTACTCAAAACTACTCAAAGTACACACTTTCCTCAAGCATAATCTAGTTCCTCAGTTTCCTAGAGGAGAAAACAAGTGTTATACTGTAGAGTTTGTTAATGTTGTTTTGGATTTGAGGAGTCGGGGGTGCCCGAAGCTCTTCCTCCATATTTGTGCAAGTGCTGCTGTATGTGTATGTGTGATGCATCATCCTCTATGTGCTCTGAATGCATCAAAGCCGTGTCTTTCTCAGGATATAGTTCTGTTTATTGCTCCGCCCAAACAACAACCAACAAAACAGGACGTGATAACTCTCAGGCTCAGTGGAGTTTCAAATCTTGACTTGTTTTCCATTTATCTTCGCACCCTAGATATGAATGTGTACATGAGTAATAGCCTATTTTCTTTTATAACAGCAGAAATCAGAAAAAAAATATTGGATGCAACCTAGGAATGTGCAAAACTATGAACAAACAAAACTAAAGTCAAAAGGATTTTTTTTCGCAGAGCAGCCAATCACCGTGACACATCCCTAACGCAAACGGTGACAAACAGCTCAGGTAACAGATGGGTTTTACGGTAATTGTAAATCTGAAACCTTTTGGTCCTTTTATGAGTTTGATTTCGGTGACGGTTTCCAGCATTGGTCTTCTCCTGCGCACATAGAGCCTCACAATCGATCCGGCCGCTTTCAGAGCCTCCACCGCCTTACTGTGAGACACCTCCGAGACATCTGAGTCGTTTACACGCAAAATACAGTCATTCACTCTGTGGAGAGAAATAAGAGTGAGGAGTGAGTTTTCTGGAGCCCGCAGTGCGTGGTGAGCCTCCTGCAGAGAGTTCCAGATCACGGCAGCCTGTGGTCCAAGGACAGCCGCCTCCTGGGGCATGCTCGCATAGAGCAGCTGAGACCCAGCAAACAAGCACACACACTCAACCAAGCCATGAACACACACACGCATATATGCAACAACTCAATTTAGACAGTTTAACATGATGCCTATGGCAACCTATGGTGGAGATATAAAAAAATATAAAAAAGAATATATATTAATTATATGAAATAATTAATAATTAATAAAATGTTAATGATATTAAAATAAATACATATTGATATAATTGTTGTTATTGGGTTGTTATTAACTAAAACTATAAAAATTGCTTTAGGAAATTGAAATAAAGCTTAAATAAATAAATAACTAAATTATATCAATGTTTCCTTCAAGTCATAAGTTTTGCTAAGGCATTCTGAGAGGCTGTTAGTGTGTTGCTATGTGATTAGGGTGTTTTGAGTGGGTGTCAAGGTGTTGCTAAGGTATTCGGGGTGGTTGCATTACTGGAGTGTTGCTATGCAGTTGTTAAGCTGCCTCTACTTCTACAATCATTGCTACTGTCTACAAACCACCTAAAATGACGTCACATGCAGCTTTTATGTCTGATTTTGCCGACTTCTTGACAATGCTGACCCGAAGTTCCATAGAATCCTTATTGTGGGGGACTTCGATATTCATGTGGACCAAAGTGACTTGGAAAAAGTAGCTGAAATGCTAATAAATTCCTTTGTCGTCTCGCGGTTAGACTATTGTAATGCTCTTTTAGCCGGAGCTTCTAAATCTACACTTAATAAGATGCAATATGTACAAAATTCAGCCGCTAGGATTTTAACTGGGACTAGGATTGGCAGTCATATTATTCCAGTGTTAGAATCTTTGCACTGGCTCCTGGTCAGGTTTAGAGTGGATTTCAAAATGATGATGCTTACTTTTAAAGCATTACATGGACTGGCACCACATTACCTTACAGAATTGTTACATCTTTACACTCCTAGGCGTAGATTGCGTTCCTCTCAGTCAGACTTGTTGGTTGTTCCTCAAACAGGTCTAAGATCTATGGGTGATAAGGCTTTCTCTTTCTATGCTCCTGTCCTTTGGAATTCGCTACCTCTTGAACTTAGGGACGCTCAGAATTATGATGTTTTTAAGGTTCAACTTAAGACATTTTTTTAAACTTGCATTTGCTTGTTGATTTTGTATAGTTTTTTTATTGTATTGATTATATTGTGTTCAGCGCTTTGAGAAGCTGCTTTTAAAGGCGCTTAATAAAATAAAGTGTATTATTAAGGAACTCTGAGGGGCTGTAGTGTGTTGCTATGTGATTGCTAGTTGTTATAGGTGGTTTCCAGTATGTTACTATGCAGTTGCTAGAGTATTCTGGCTGGAATGTTGCTATTCAGTTGCCAAGGCTCTCTAAGGGGCTGTTAGTATGTTGCTATGCTATTACTAGGGTGTTTGGGGTGATTGCCAGGGTGTTGCTATGCAGTTGCTAGGGTATTCTAAGGGGCTGTTAGTATGTTGCTATGCGGTTACTAGGGTGTTTTGGGTGATTGCCAGGGTGTTGCTTTGCAGCTGCTTTGGTATTCGGGGTGTTTGCATTGCTAGAGTGTTGCTATGCATTTGCTAAGGCATTCTGAGAGGCTGTTAGTGTGTTGCTATGTGATTGCTAGGATGTTTTGGATGGTTGCTAGGGTATTGTGATCTCTAAAATGTTAACTTAGATTTTTCTCCCCTGTATAATGGCCTGGTAGGTGATTGCTTAGTATTTGACATAAATATTGAAATCTTAGCCAACTAATGATTCTGCATAAATGTTGACTCATTCCTTTTTCATATGGACTAATAGCATTTAACACCAGACCATCATGACAGCTAATGATTTTGTATCCTGTTTTTTTATTCATTTTCCTCTAAAACTGCTTTCAATGGCTTTCCCCTGTGCACACTAAAGATGAGTTTAGCCTCACTGAAAATGGATAGAAGCAATTTCCATAAGTCTACTTTATCTGAGTTTGCAGAAGAGTCTTGGTCATTACCAGGAGCGTCTGCCCATAAGAGCTGCTCTATCCGGTGCCAGCACATACAGATGGTGTGTGTGTACTCGTGTATTTCTTCACTCATAGACAGAGCCGTCAACACAAAGCTTTACTGAATAAGCATGTTTGGGCGCCTTTGAATCGCCTTTCATTTCCATATCGCTGACATGCATTCATGGAGGACAGACGTTAAATGTCTAACCCCTCCCTGCAAACGTCTGAATGAGGCCCGAGGGGGAGGGGGTACAGTCTGGGGCGTATAGTGAAGAGCGAGGGATCTTTTGTGAGCACCTTTTTAACATATAGTGTACGACGAGCTTTCTCGCACATCGAGATGCATCACAACAGACAGGCGTGCTACCAATTAACCAACGCCTCAGAGTACAACAAATAAGAGATGCACACCGGACAAAAGCAGCATGTTTTAGTCTTAGATATTGAATTATTACATACATAAAAGATAGACTTTGGAAATTAAAGACGGAACACTATTTTGGTCACAAGGATGGAACAGAATTCAGAAGTCTTGTTTTTAAAAGCTAAATTGTTTTTATCTTGTTTACCTGTTATCATGTACAATGTTAATTATAATGCAAATAAAATAATGATATGCAAACAAAAACAATAATAGCCTGTCATTTTAGTGATTTCTTTATCTATTTAATGCTTTTGAATGATCTTCATTTAGAGGCATCTTAATTTTTTCTGTAAATATTGATTGCAATATTTAATTATTTGTTATTGAATTATTAGATCAAGTCAAATACAGACCATTAACTGATTTATATCAGATTTATGTATTTAACCCTTTGTTTGCATATTGATTAGTTTGCAATTAGTTAATCAAATTATAATTCAGTTTTTTTATTTATTGACCGTTCAAATACAGACCCATCTGCATATCAGATTTATATTTAAAGCAGATTTACACATTTAACCCTTTGTTTGCATTTTAAATTGTGTTATTAGTTCATCAAATTATAATTCAGTTATTTTTTTAATTGACAGTTCGAAACTAAAACAGGTTTACATTATAATACACTTTTTCTTTATCTATGCGGACTGTCTTTTTCTATTTTTGTGACTTGCAGATCACCATTAAGAGTATTTTATGCAAAAATCAACTGAAATGCAAAATTCAAGCTTCACATTTCTGCTATAACACTGACTCACTGACTTCTACTGTAAGTGCATTGCTGTAAACACAATTTATGCGTTTTTACAAACTGAGAGCCAAGAAAATGCAAGCATGATGCTTGCAACAAAGTCATGGGTTCAAATCCCAAGAAATGCATAAAATGTACATCTTGAATTTGATGAAATGCAAAGTGTCTGTCAAATGCATGAATGTGAAATTGAGACAACTGCTGCACATAGACCAATTTTTCTACTTCTTTAACTATTTCTTTGTGATTTTATGAAGCGTTTGCTTCAGTGGAGAGCTCTTGTTCTTCAGTCTTTTCCATCTGACAAACCCGTCCTTATTGCCCTGGGATGCACGCAATATAGGATTCCAGCCTCCTCATATGAATCAGTGGGTACTGAGAGAGGTCGTGACCTCTGAGGAACTGGCCAGCAGTGACAAGAACAAGAGAGACGGTCAGAAATGGCCCTCAGGGACACATTTGGACAGAGAGTTTCCCATGACACCGGGTCAAACCCATTCAATCAGAACATATTAAAATTACAAGAGGAGTCTGTTGAAAGTTAGCTAGTCTTCCCGTACATTTTCGGGATTTTTTGCCCATGCATAACTAGATTTAACTCACCACCAAGATGCTCTGCAAAATCCACTAAATCCATCACAGAAATACTATTGTATATTTTATTTGTGTTTATTTATTTTTAAGTCTCTTATGCTCACCGAGGCTGCATTTAATTGATCAAAAATCCAGTAAAATATTAATATTGTAAAATATTATTACAATTTAAAATAGCTGTTTTCTATTTAAATTTTAAATGTAATTTATTTCTGTGATCAAAGCTGAATTTTCAGCATCATTACTCCAGTCTTCAGTGTCACATGATCTTCAGAAATCATTCTAACATGCTGATTTGCTGCTCGAGACACATTTCTAATGATTGTGAATGTTGAAGACTTCATATTTTTGTGGAATTTTTTTTAACCATTCAGAAACTTAGGATTTGTAAGATAAAAAAAGATTTAAATTAATACTTTTATTCATCAAGGATGCATTAACATTTTTTTGTGTTTTCCACAAAAATATGAAGCAGCACAACTGTTCTCAACATTTTTAATAATAGATCATGTTTTTAAAGCAGCAAATCAGCATATTAGAATGATTTCTGAAGGATCATGTGACACTGAAGACTGGGGTAATGATGCTGAAAATTCAGCTTTGATCACAGGAATAAATGACATTTTAAAATATATTCAAATTGAAAACAGTTATTTAAAATTGTAATAATATTTCACAATTTTACTGTCATTTAAATTTTTAGTCAAATAAATGCAGCATTGGTGAGAAAAAGAGTCTTATTTAAAAAAAAAAAATTAAATTCCAAACTTTTGACCTGTATATTAAAATAATCTTTCATAAATAATTGATCAAACTAAGCATTTCATTGTTTCAGGCAAGGATACGAACTATTGAGAATGTGAGATGCCTGAGTGCACATTGATTTGTTTTCTTTCTTGTCCTAAAGAGTGGAGTGAGTTTGACCTGTGGCGTGGGGTACAGGAGCGAGTCGTGACCTCTGTGACACGTCCCTCTGCCCTGCCATTGACCGGATACTCTCCAGTACAGCCCTTCTGATGACCGGCAGAGAAAGACCTCGATTGTTGGCTTTCATCGGCGTAATTAACTCGTGAGCACCAGTCAGTGGTCTTTTTAAACACGCTCCGCTCATTTATCAACATTATGGAGCAAAAGTGACAGCAGGACGTCAGATAGAGTTTTCAACTAGTGATCCCAGACTTTCAGACCCCACTACATGTCATTTAAATATCAACTTTGTTTCATATGGAGAGATGGAAATCAATAGAGAGCTATGAATGAGTATAGCAACTCAGATAAAGCAAAATTCTCCTTATTTTCTGTGGGAGGCTTTTAATGTCCACATACCAATGTGTTTTGTGTAAGTCCTCGAGAGTTTTTGAGCCTTCATGGATTCATCATGGGGATCAAACTGGGGTGAGACGTGATTTGGACGGACAGGAAAATAGCAGCGATGCTGAACTTCACTCATGTAAACGACTGACTCACTGAAATAATGAGTCATTGACAGAGAAATGGATTCAATGAATGTCATACAGCCATACACACACACACACACACACACACTTAATGAAAAACAGGAGAGACCATATACACACACACACACACGAGTTTGGGGTCAAGATTTTTTGAAGTAATTAATATTTTACACAATAAATTGATCAAAAGTGACAGTACAGACATTTACAATGTCTTTTGATCTTTGTATTCATCCAAAATTTCAGAGAAAAAAAATGGATCAGTTTCTGCAAACATATTAAGCAGCATGACTATTTTTAACATTGCCTCTGCAATATTCTGGTCTCTTGTGTATATATATACACACACACACACACACACACAACATGATATTTAATAATCTAGTCAAGTATGGGGGGAAAAACCAGTCACATTCCAACAAATGTAAGCATTAAAAGTCATTTTAAAAACCACAAATTTGACAAATAGCCATATCAAGAGACCAAAATATGACAGAGGCTTTTTTAAATGCTTTAATACATTTAAATTATAAATGTATGCATTTAGCAGACTCTTAAAAGCGACTTACAGTGCATTCAGGCTATACATTTTTTACCAGTATGTGTGTTCCCCGGGAACTGAACCCACGACCTTTTTTGCTGCTAATGCAATGCTCTGCAACTGAGCCACATTTATGTGTCCACAAGAACACTTTATGTGTCCTATATTAAAGATTTGCATTTGTTTGCTGTATCAGAAGCAATAGCTACAACTGACTGGGTTTTGTTTTCCATACTCGACTAGAATATGGATTCAATATTAAGTATGGAAAATATTATTGAATCTCGTATTGCATATACAGGGCCACCACTGTTACGGCCCATTAAATAAGCTCCGTCCCTTTGCACTTGGCACATTTCGAGTACTTAATGCACTCTAATCTGACATTGACCATGTGATGAAAGCCATTGTTTGAGCACTTTCACCCCCCCGCTGTCAGCGGGTCCGGGATGCCCGGATTTACCACCGATTCTTTTGTTTTGGCATCCCCGCTCGCTTCTTTTCAAGTGGTGACTGTACCATCTCTTATTATCATTTTAACATGAAATACTCACCAATTATGTATGAGGAGACTCTTTGAAAGCTTAAAGGGATTGAAGGGGCATCCAGCTTCCAGTCATAACAGCTTTTCATATGCAAACGCACGAGCTCAGCCTCGACCTCTGAGGGTTTGGGGCCCAAGCCGGAAGGCTCAGATCTCCTCCGCGCTGTTTTAATGATTATTGTGGAGGCTTTCTTACAATGTTTATCTGCAGTTGCCGTATCAGCGCTTTTGAAATCCCCGTCTCAAGAGGGAAAGGTGAGGGTGTGTGGAATTGTGCCCAGAGGATCATTAAAACAGGCATCAAACAAACAGCTAATTTCTTCACTATGAGAGAAGCTGCGGTCATTGATTTATCTCAGGGCCAAAGGCTTTTCGTTGCCTATACGAAACACATTTAGCTCTTTTTACACAGCACAGTATAAAAATGCACAATTTACTTTAAATATTGTCAATCAGATCTACACAAACCACAAAACCTGTGCAACCTAATGTAGTTAAACACGACTAATTTAAATTCATTACAGGCTAGCTATATCATAGTTTTCCCATTTATTTCTAAAATACATTCCTGAAATGTAGATATACCCAGCAAACAACTTTTGGAACGGTTAGTTTTTGGTTGCAAAAAAGAACCAACAGAGAACGTTCTTTATTTGGTTCCCAAAAACATTAGCAAATGGACCCTTTTCACATTTCCGGGTTTCTCAGCAGCAGAAGTCGTCATAGCTGGGTTAACGTCAAGAGCTGTGAATGGGAAAGTACCACAAATATTTTTTTTTGCATTCCCATTTGCTCAAACGGCAAAAGACAAACTCCACGTTAGTGTTTTCATGACTTTCAAAAAAAAAGGGAAAAAATTGAGAGACTGATAACGGCAGTCAGAAGAGAGAACGTTATAACATAGATGCTGCATTAGAAACACCTTCGCGTTAGCATTAACTAGATTTTTTTATATAATACAAAGTTATAAATGTACATACATTTAAAAAAAAAAAAATCAAAATATAAAAAAACTTGAGGATTTATGATGGTGATGACCGTTAAACACGTCATCATAGTCTTGTGAAAAGGGTCCATGTGAACATTGCGGTTGCCAGTCAAATGCAAAATTGTCTATTAAGAATTTCTGTCTGGTTTTAGGTGCCATCATAACAGAAACTGCACTTGCGGAAATCACAAATGACTTGCTTCTCGCACCAGACTGCATCTCAGTACTATTTTTACTTGATCTTAGTGCTGCATTCGACATCGACTCCATAGATCATGACATACTCATAGTTCGATTACAAAATTATAAAGGTGTTCACGGACAGGCTTCAAGATAGATCCTACATGTCTGACCGTTACCACTTGTTTATTTAAATGGGGAATCATCTCAATTAACACCAGTACAGTATGAAGTACTGCAAGGAGCTGTCTTAGGCCCTCTGCTATTTACAATATAAAGGTCACCCCTTGGTAATATTATTAGAAAATAAGAACTGAACTGTACATTTCTGCCATATGGACATCACCTTGACACAGTCACCACTGATAAACTACTCCTAAATGTAATGTAGAAACGTAAAAATTTTTTGTGAAGCTGTTTTGCAATGATGCGTATCGTGAAAAGCGATATACAAATAAACATGACTTGAATTGAACTGAAATGCAGTTTCTAGGTGGTTGCATACTGACCAAAGTCCCTGCAATATTCTGGTCTCTAGTATCGGCCCCTTTATATGCAATGCAATACAATATTCTAGTCAAGTATGGAAAAAAAATCCAGTCCCATTATATAGCTATTGATTTTGATACAGCAAACAAATGCAAATGATTGCAAACGCTTGCAATATACAGTAGGTCACACGAAGCATTAAAAGTAACTTTAAAAAAGTGCAAATTGTACAAATAGCCATATCTAGAGAGACCGAGACCAAAGGCAACCAACTGGGAATGTTAAGCAAATGTTATGCGTTTGCTGGGTATAAATGCAATATGATGCTGTGTGCAAATTTCAGCTATACTTGTATTCATTAATCCAGTTTATTACTTTTGGATAATTGGATGGTAGTTTATGGAGGTATAGGACTCAATAAAATGATATAACCAGTGCAGTCTTTCTATTTTGCCACGCCTTTAAAAGAAAAAAAAAAACGCTATAATGCAAATACTCATTGTGCTCATTCAAACTGCTGTAATGACCTAATTTTCTTACAATGCTTATGAAGACATTATTTTCAAGGCACAATTTAACTTTTTTTTCAATCTGAACATATTTCCCACTGTAAAATATCTAATGCATTACATGTTTAAATTGTGTAAAAATGGTCATAGACATTCATGCCACCAATCTCAAAGGATCATGCATTACCCAAACAGTAAAAAACATCTTCCTATAAAAACATCCTGATACACTGCATTAGTTTAAATACAGAAAGCAACGCTAGAGTACGTGAATCAAATATTTAGTCTGGAAAAAAAAAACACGTTAAAGGGACAGTTGGCCAAAAATGTCAATTACAGTCAACATTTACTCACCCTCAAGTAAATAAATAATGACAGAAGTTTCATTTTTGGTTGAACGAACCCACACAGAACTCAAACCAGCCGACACAGAAAAACATGACAAGCTGACAAATAATATGTGCCAAAACCTCAGAGAAATTGCAATCCACGCCAAAAACAGAACATACATGAACTGAAAACCACCTCAAGTGGAATGTGGTAGGAACATTGAACACATTAGCTATCAAAAGTCTCAGATCAGTAGATTCAGTACGGCAGTATTTTATGGCTGTCATCACATCCACAGCAAACTGCACTCATTTATACACATGAAATAAATCTGGCAAATAATGAAATCTCAGCATGCGAAAATGTTTGTAGGAAGGTTGAAGGAAGAGTTCATCCATAAATGAAAGTTCACACCAATAATTACAGCTATAACTAAAAAGTTTTGATATAATATAATATAGTAATAACTTTTAGTGTGAATAGATCATTCATTACTCACCCTCATGATGTTCCTATTTTCTTGCGTTCTTTACTTTTTGAACTATATTCTGTCTAATCCTTTTCATGGAGAGCCACTTTCATACAGAGATTTGGTACAAGCCTAATTAAACACACCTGAACAAGTTTAATTAAAGTGTTTAAAGTCAAAGTTAAAAACATCTAGGCAGGTGTGATGGAACTAAATTCTGCAACAAAGTGACCCTCCAAAAGAATTGGATACACATTTTATGTAACAAAAGGGGACTGGGTCAGTTGTGTTCCAAAATGACAAAAAAAGCACCAAGGGAAGATTTACAGAGAGCAGAGATGCCCTAGATTGACCTGTGATGACCTTTGATATCACAAGAGGATCTTTATTTCTAATTTATGTTTTTGTTTTAGCATTTAAAAAAATGCTCTGAAAAATGCTCTTTGCACTGAAAAGTAAGTTCCTGAAGAAGAAGAAAAAAAAAGAAGATATATAAATAAAAAAAAACGTATATTTAAATGTAACTTTAAAAAAAAAAATGTATTTGATGCATTATAATATAGTTGGTTTAGTCTGTGCCAATAGCCTCGTGGGCATCGTGCTGACGTGTAGCGCCACTGTGCTTCGGGCGTCCCGAGTTTGAGTCCCAGCTTGCGGACCTTTCCCGCCACTGCCCCCTCTCTTTCTCCCACTTCACTTCCTGTCTAAAGGCTGTCCTGTCCGAATAAAAAGTGGAAAAATGCCAAAGATAAAATCTTTAAAAAATAATTTAGTTGGATTTAATAGACCAATATATGATGTAATTTAATTTAATATACCAATATAATATAGCTAGGGTATAATGCATTTACTTTTGGCCCACAGCCCTCAATGAAGTTTGATTTTTGGACCTTCATATTAAAATGTTTGGGTAGAGAGTAACGACTTAAATATGGGTCCGTTTCTCACACAAAGCTGTTTTATGACTTCAGAGCAATTGGTATATAGTGGATGAGTCATAAGCACTATTGTTCTAATACGTCTGTGGTGTGTTTTTGAGCTTGGCAGACGTCACTGTACTTTAAATATTTCAGCTTTTTTCTTCTCTGCATTTCTCCTCTTCTCTAGCTTGCTTCTAAATAGTCTAATAAACCTGCTGGTGTTGCAAATTACGAATATTGGCTCAGTGATCAAATTTCTTTTGTTCTTCTTCCTAATTTGTTTTGGATAAAAGTGCAGCAAAATGCACAATGTTTCATTAAAGAAAGAGTCATATGGGTTTGGAACAACACGAAGGTGAGTAAATGATGAAATGATTTTCATTTTTGACTAAACCATCCATAATCGGCTGATGACGTGAGAAGTTGTAGGAGTGAACATTACACATCTTGCAGCAACACAATCATACAAGATCTCATTCAAAAAAAGTATACACAAATGGTTCTCCATCAGATATCCATAAATAAATGTAAGAAAAATGTTTTGAACTTGTGTCCTGCACATGTCAGTCAGGGTCTTTGACCTGCAGTGTCACAGAGAGTGTCCGTCACTCCTTTTTCCCAAAGAACTTCCTGAAGACGGATTTGTTGGGGGGTCGCGGGAGGCTCATGTAGCTTCTCATGGGCAGATCGGAGAAGGGCTCCTGCCGGACGCTGTTTGGTGAGGCTGTCGCTGTGCTTTTACAGATTGCCGGCATCTCACCATCTCCGATGAACAGAGTCACTGAGTAGCTGGAGCTGCTGTCCTGGCCTTTGCCTGAAGGAGGCGCTACAGGCTTGATCCTCTGATATGTGGCTGTAGAGACCGAGATAAAAAAAAACATTAAGGACTACATTTTTTTAAAGGAATAATTACACAATTTTTATTTCATGTTTTAATTTCAATAGTAAACCTCTGTTGCCAAAAAACTAAAAAATTGTTTAATTTTAATTTTAAATTAAATTTAAATTATATTGTAACAATTATTGTACAATATTGTTTTAATTATAATGTCTTAATTTGATTACCACAGTTTTGGATAATAAATTCGTATTAAACCATACAGTTAACCATAAGTTTAATTGATTAGTCATGCTTTTTGATTATTAAAATTGAACTAAACCATTCAAATTGAATCCAGAAAAATTCAAAACTGAAAACAGAAGTTAAGAAAAATAGAATGTATTTTATAGGGCCCTCATTTTAATTTTTTTTGTTAAACTTAAATAAATTGTTGAATTGCATAGGTTTCATGATTTCAATTAATTACATACTTTTTGGTTACTAACATTTAATTTAACCATTAAAACGGAATCCAAAAAAAATGTAAATGGAAAAAAACGGAATTTGGGAAAAAAATAAAAATAAAACGTATTCCATACGGCCCTAAAATGTTTTTTTTTTGTTTGTTAAACTTTTAATAAATTGCTGTTCAATTGTACAAGTTTCAGAATGTCATGATTTTTGACTCAAACTGAATTTAACCAGTAAAACACAGCCCAGAAATATTAAAACTGAAAAAAAAATTACAACCGAACTTTGAAAAATAAAACCGATTTCATAGGGCCCTATATTAGTTTAAGTACAGCTGAATTCAGTCCTAATTGGATGTGGCAAATGTGGCTTGGATGTACCTGAGGTAAAGGAGTGTGAGCGTCTCTTTTCGCTGGTCCAGCCCTGAATGGTGGACATAGAGGACGGTTTCTGGCTCAGAGACTCACCATGAGAGTCAAACTCATCCTCTACAGAGAGAAAAAAAACAGAAAATGAATCATTCAACCTCTGCAGTACAAGGGCAGACAGTATAAGTGAGTAGCAAAGTACTCGAGGTGAGAAATAATGTGACCAAGGTGGAAATGACAAAATCCAGAGTGCTTCTCCAGAAATAGAAAGCCGCTGACAGCAAACAGATGTGACCATGCCTCATAATGTCTGCTTGAAGCTCCGATCAGCACCAGAGTACTCTACTGCCCTCTTTTGGATGTCCAAAACATTTATCTTGCATATTATTTATTTATTACTTGCATCAGTTGCCTGTGTTGAGAAAGCTACTTTGAAACTGTCAAAATGAAAGCTAAATTTATCTCAAGTATATGCTTTTTAATCCACTATAATTGCATACTTAAGATAAAATATATATTTATAGATTTTTTTTTTTACTGGACAATGCAAAATACTGATTAAGAAAATTATTATTATCATTATTTAATTTATTTTGTTGTAGTGCTATTTAAAGTAATGCAACTACAGCTACTAGCTAACAATTTATACATATTATAAATGAAATACACAGAGCTATGAGGGTTTATAAAATATGACTAAAACCTTGAGTAATTTATTTAAATGACCCTCATTTATATAAATGAGACATCATAGTAATGAACAGAAGCATTAAACTACTGCAAAAGGCACGGCATTGTGTATAAATTTACATTTATATATACAATTTTGATCAATTATGAAATGAACTTAAGCTCACCAAAGCTACATTTATTGGATCAAATAAATTCAAGATTATTACCATTTAAAATAACTGTTTTGTATTGAAATATATTTCAAATTATAATTTGTTGTGTTATTTTTTCTCAGTTCACTGAACTGTATTAGTCACACAGTTTCTTACCACAATGACCCGCATCTGAGAACGAGGGGAGCAACGGATCCTGATGCCTTTGGTGGATCTGCAGAGCGTCACTGGTGTGAACTATGATCTCTTTGGTTCGGCCTGAGGCGGGCTGACTCTGTGCTAAAACGGTGGTGGTGACATAATTTCTCATGGAGCAGTGACATTTATCTCCACACTGACAGCCGGTGATAGCAAGAGAATGTCTAGGGAGCGTCGCTGAAGCTGAAGACCCATGACATGTTGATCTGTTCACTACAGAATCACTAGACACTGTAGAGATAAGAGGATTTCATGTGAATATAACTGTGGTCATTTAATGCAGCACTGAAAGCTTGTTAACAACAGACAGACAGATAGTTAATGGTATAATACCAGTGTGTGCTTGGATTCTAAGGATCCATTTCTTCATCATAAATCGGGACGATGCACTGAGGAGATACTCAGATCCATCCCGCAATCTGAGAGAAAAGTGAAGTCCTTCAACTGAATATGTGCAGGTGAAAGTGATTTAAAAACAACTACTTCCATCTCTAACTAAGATAAACATGAGACGCCCTTTAGTTGTTCGACATTTACCTCAAGCAGAAGCAGTTGGGTTTTTTGGTGTACTCTGACGACGGTTCACACACCGCTCCAACTAGGTTCAGAGGAAGGCTGGTCACACAGCTCTATGGGGTACAAATATAGAGTCATTTTGGCTAAATTCATACCCTTAGATGCTTTACAGCTGCCATTAAACGTAATTAAATCACAATTTAATCACAGTTCAACCTTGCAATGTAACTAATGATGTCCTTTTGCAATAAAGGAACACAAAGTTTTCTACTTGGTTGCAAAGCCAGAACATGAAGTCTTCAAGCTTACCTTGAGTGTATCTTTCCTATCCTGATAGAAACATATAGTTTGTTTGTATAGCACAGCATGATAGGAGTTCCACGCCCTGCATGGTGCCTGAAATAGTACATTTATTTTGTTGGTTACATAAAGACCAACCGAAATGCAACCTAATTTGACATCTACCACAGTAGCCTGCAGGTAAGAGCATGAGGCATGAGACACAAAATGCTTATTTGTTGTGGTTGGGGTCAAGAAAATATCTGTAATTGTGATATTTACCTTCTTTCCACCCAGTTGTAGTCTGTGTTTTCTCTCCAGTGTACCTTCCATAGATGGCAGTTCCAGTTCTTGTCTTCCAGTCTGAAAAACAATGGTCAAAGATTAGAATTAACAATATTTGAATGATGAGATACAATAATTATTTCTCGATATTCTGAAGAACTCTTAAGCATATACTCTCTGTTCTTGTATATGGTCTGTAATTATACTTTGGGTACTTGGATATCATTGTCATTGGTCCCATCCAATCCCATATGAACAGACAGGTGGCTCATGGATTGGTCCTGTGGAGAAAGAACACATATCAATGCATTAATTGCCAAGACAAAAAACAGATTACACATGCACTAATCAGAACCACAATAATGGGCAAAATGATATGAGATATGCTGGCCACAACTTAATTTGAGGGCAAAGATTTCCAAATAAAACCCTCAATCGTCCTCGGAAGTTCCTACTTCAGCCATGAGTGCTCATCTCATAAATATCATTCTGACATGTTCAAGGCAGCACAAGTCAACTACTTAAACCAGGGATGTCCAATCCTGGTCCTAGAGGGCCAAAGTCTTGGAGAGTTTAGCTCCAACTTGACCCAACACACCTCCTCGGAAGTTTCTAGTACACCTAGTAAAACCTAGTATGCCTAGTAAAACCTTGATTAGCTAGTTCAGGTGAGGTCCTTGGTTCAGGTGTGTGTGATTGAAGCTAAACTCTACAGGACATTGGCCTTCCAAGAGCAGGACTTAAGCCATGGGTGTCCAAACTCAGTCCTGGAAGGCAACCGTCCTGCAGAGTTTAGCTTCAACTGGCCTCAACACACCTGCATGGAAGTTTCTATTATTCCTAACAAGACCTTGATTTGCTAGTTCAGGTGTGTTTAACTGGGGTTGGAGCTAAACTCTACAGGACAGTGGCCCTCCAGGGGTAGGGTTGGACACCTGACTAAAACAGTCCTAAACAACATCTAACAAGGTTTGACTGTCGACTTACAGACCTCACCTTCAGAAAACCTGTTTCCTTCTCCTCCTCCTCCTCCTCCTCCTCCTCCTCCTCTCTATAATGGTAGATATACTTTTGCTGGTCCTGTATTTCAGGTAGTTTCACCATATCCGAAGCCGTTTCATTTACAGCCACTTGTTTGTAAACCTGTTCCTGTTGAGTGAATGCAGCCCAAGACCTTCTGTCTCCTTTATCCAGAATTGGCCTTTCTTCCCTTGGGTTCTGCTGCTTCCCAGAACCCACCATAGTCTGGACAGATGGTGGCAGTCTGAACTCCGCCACAAGAAGGTTGGGTGCAGAGGCTGTGACCAACTTCCTGAAGAGCACTGCTTGTTCTTTGGGTGAGGGTTCCCTGTGCTGGTCTAGAGAAGAGGTGGCCTGGTAGCCATTATACATGATGTCAGAGTTTAGACTCTCTCTGTAGCTGTTGGTGTGGTTCCAGATGTCCTCCAGCTCCTCCTCTTCCTGTTCAAACTGTTGATGGTCAGGATGAACTGGATCATCAATGTCGATAGATAAGGTAATGCTCTTGTCCTTGGAGAACTCAAAGTTCTTGTTGGACACTCCTGCATCCAGGGATGGTACCTTCCCAATGGTTTTCTTGGGCACTGGACAGTCTGAGGAGTCTACGTGTGGACCCTCAGCACATAACTTGAAGCTTCCAGAGCTGGAGTGACCAGAGTCCACTGAGTCCTCTCTTCCATTGGCTCTGAAGTTCAACACTACATGAGATGCATGGCTGGGACTTAACTGTTGAGTGCTGGAGTTCTTTGCTGGCCTATGGAACATGTGTCCATTAAGATTGTGAACCAAGGTATGGACGCTAGGACATACATGAATCTCTGCCATAGTTGAGCAGTGGTTGGCTATACCCTGGATTGCATCTTCTGGAGGACTTACATAGGGATTCTCAAGTTGAGTTGCATTTGCGTTCCAACTAACTTCCTCTTCTTTGGGTACTATACTGATCCCAGACAGATGTTTCTGTTGAATATTGGTCAGATCACTGAGTGATGAGGGATGATTCTCCTCAAATGAGATGTCTTCAACAACTGGAGAAGGTGGAGGAGGATATTCATCTTCAGTAAATGAAACCTTGTCAATGCTGATCTTTTTGGAGTCTTTACAATCAATCTTAAGGGTTACTTCACCTGGAGAAATTTGTTTGCGCTCTTCTTTTTGCATTGGACGAGAGCGGACCGTTTTAAAGGTGCTCAGAGCTGTCAAACGATCAACCTGAGAGTCCTGGTGATGAGAGTCTGTCTTCTTTTGCTCAGGAGGGCCAATTGTAATGACATCTTGAATACTAGGGATAAGGCTCATATCCTTGGGCAGGTCGAAGCTTAACACAGAGCCCAAGGACAGAAATCTGCAGTGGTTCTTCACATGTCCTTGGGTGGCAACCTCTAAGGTGCTGTGAACTGGAGATCCAACCTCTCCAGAACATTCTGCATCTATGTCTTTCACTAAAGGGTTCTTTATGTAGTCCAAGACCTGAGTCCCATCGCTGTTTGGTTTCCTTGCATTTTTCCGCTTCTTCCTTTCCTTCAGGGGCCAAGTATGTGTATCGTATGTCACCGGTTCACGTACAGGTGGCAAATCAGCCTCCTCTGACAGATCCTCTCCCATGATCTTCTGAATGGTGTGTCTACGGTCATCTTTCTTCTTCTTGGCCTTCTTGCCCTTCCTCTTCAGGCTGCTAAAGATTGAGATGTTGCCATTCTTTGGCAGCAGGTTGTTGGCCTGCTGAAGTGTGTCTTCGATGGAGGACGAGGAGTATGGGGAGGTGCAAGGAGAGGAGAGAGCATACAGGGAGGTCCTGGGAGAGGAGGAGGAGGGCCTTGGAGCTTTGTCTTGGGGAAGCGCCATACTCTCATACACTGCCGTGTTGTTTTCCGTAACATGCAAGTAAGTACTTACCTAAAACACAAGGAAAAGATTGTTTTAGAGGGTTATCACTTTTTTTCTTCCATGCATAAATTGGATAGCATGCATAAGTATCACACTTCAACACAAAGTTCACCCTTCAAAGATACATCATGCTAATTATCTGATGTGCAGTGCTCCTAAAAAGCATTTGGGCAGTTAGGTCGCACATACAAATGAATGAATGCCATTGCATTCCAAAACAAAATATCAAATGAAGTGGCATCTGCAAACAACTGTTACTGTCATTTTTAATGCATGCATGAAGTCAGTTTTTCTCAAATACACACAGGTGTAGTTCATTACATCAACTAATCAACATGTTTCACAACCACAAAGTGTCTTCATTCTGGACCTTTGTAAGTGTGCTTGTGTTATCTTTATAACAAATGTGACTTGGTTTGGTATTTAGTTATCTTATGCACTGACATTCATATTTAAGTGTGGCTCAAGTGTCCAAATACTTTTTATGGCCAGTGTAATTCACAATTCAAACACTGAAAAATTATTATTTGTATAATCATTTATGAAAATAAGTGTTTTAGTATCTGAACACAGCACTTCTGTGAGTGTCTGGCTCAAGCAAAGCATTCCTAAGCAAAAACACAGACACATGTTGCTTCACATTTGTTACTGATGAATGATGACATCGCTCTGCAATGATAAAAAACATTTAAAATGCTGAAACATCTTTTCCTTCACTGCTTACGTTAAGCAGCTGGAATTCACATTTGTTATGGGAAAAAATAAACAATTCTTACATTCTGTGAAGAAAAATTATGCAAAACTTGCCACTACACCGCCAGTATGCTGTGAAAGTTTTTCCAGGGAGTTGCTATGTCGTCGCTTCATACTATGTGGTTACCAACATGTTATAAGTGTTTTTTATTGTGTTGGTATGCTTTTGCTAAGGTGTTCTGGATCATTGCCAGGGCATTACTATGCAGTTGCTAAGGTGTTCTAAGTGTTTTTGTGTATTGCTATGCTGTTGCTAAGATGTTCTAGGTGGTTGCTAGGGTGTTGCTATACTGTTGCGAAGGTGTTGTGGCTAGTCGTCAAGATGTCACTAAGGTAAGGTTCTGAGTGTTTTAGTGTGTTGCTACGTTATTGGAAAGTTGCTTTAGGTGTTTGCTAAAGTGTTTCTATGCTTTTGCTAAGGTGTTCTGGATACTTGGCAAGGCTACGTGATCTCTAAGTTGTTACAGGTGGTTGCCACGGTGTTACTATGGGATTCTGGTTAGTTGCCAGGCAATATTACATGGTTGTGTTCTAATTGGTTTTTAGTGTGTTGCTATGCTACTGTGAAGATGTTCTAGGTGATTGCTAGGGCATTGCTATGTAATTGTTAAGGTTTTCTAGATGATTGCCAGGGAGTTATGCTGTCACTAACATGTTCTGAATAGTGTTCAGGGCATTACTATGCAACTGCTAAGGTGTTCTGACTGTTTTGTGTGCGTGTTGTTATGTGATTCTAAGTTGTTCTAGATGGTTGCTAAGGAGTTGCTATGCTGTTACTAAAATGTTCTGAACTGTTGTCAGGGCGTTACTGTGCAGTTGCTAAGCTATTCTGAATTGTTTTTAGTGTGTTGCTACAGTATGTGATTGCGAAGGTGTTCCGGGTGGTTGCTAAGGCTATGTGATTGATGGTCTAGATCAGGGCTGTCCAAACTCGGTCCTGGAGGGCCGGTGTCCTGCAGAGTTTAGCTCCAACCCTAATTAAACAAAC